TTTTTTATCAAATTTTTTCCTCCTAAATATTATTTTATATATTATTATCGATTTTCATCAAATTCTCCTAGATATCTTATATATAAAAGAAAGAGACGCTAGGGCAACCCTTAGAAACCCTAATGTCATATTTGTAATTTTTTTTCAATTTTTATCAAATTTTTATCTCTTTAATATTATTTTAAATATTATTTTTGAATTTTATCATATTTGTATCCCCTAAATATTATTTTAAATATTATTTTTTATTTTTATCATATTTTTGTCTCCTAAATATTATTTTTTATTTTTATCAAATTTTTATCTCCTAAATATTATTATAAATAATATTTTTTTAATTTTATCAAATTTATATCTCCTAAGTCCTAACTATAATTTTAAATATAATTTTCAACTTTTAGCGGATTTTTATCTCCTAAATATTATTTTCGAATTTTATCAAATTTATATCTCCTAAATAATATTTTAAATATTTTTTTCGAGTTTTATCATGTTTTTATTAGTTTTTTATCTCCTAAATATTATTTTCATTGTTTATCAGATTATTGTCTCCTAAATATTATTTTCGATTTTTATCAAATTTTTATCTCCTAAATATTATTTTAAATAATAATTTTAATTTTAATCATATTTTATCTCCTAAATATTATTCTAATTATTATTTTCATATTTTATCAACTTTTATCTCATTAACATTATTTGAAATATTATTTTCGATTTTTTATCAAATGTTTATCTCCTAACTATTATTTTAAATTTTATTTTTGATTTTTATCTCCTAAATATTATTTTTTGATTTTTTTATCAAATTTTTATCTCCGAAATATTATTTTAAATATTATTATCGATTTTCATCAAATTCTCCTAGATATTATTTATAATAATCTGATTTTCGATTTTTACAGAAAGGGTAAATAAATCTGATTTTCATCCCTAGCGGATTTTGTGACATCGTTTTCCAGAATGTCTGCAACATTTGAATTTTATTTCTTCCCTACCTAAGGCTTCTTCTTTTGGTAACCCGACTTTAGATTTTGTTTCTTATCTTCTTCTTCATCCTATTGCATGTGTGGCAATTAGTTTACATCTTTTTCCATCATGGCTTATAGGTAATTTCATTTTGTTAAATTATGTGTTTCATTAATTTATACCAAAGTTTTCAAATTTTATGTATAACAATTATTTCATTTTATATGTTATTGGACATGTTATTGAAAGGGATGATTTGAGAAAATTAACCAAAAATGGGCGGAGCCACAAGCTATTGGAAGTCGACCTTCAAGACTTATTGTTTGTATGCGATATTTAATTTATTGTTTATATTTATTTTTGTTTCTTAATTTCCAATTGTTAACTCCAGTGGCAAAACAACCTTAAAATGAGGCAGTGGAGAAGGGCTTAGTTCCGATGCAAGATGTATAGATGGCCTTTTACGATGGTATGTTGTCGATAGTTTAGTTTTGATTATGTTAACTTAGTTATTAGATCTAATTACTTTTAAGCTCAACATGGAAGACATAATTGATGATTTTTTTCCTGGTTCAAATTTTCAATCTACTGGTATTAGCTGATTCAATTCATTTGGAAAATTATTCAACAGTAAAGTTATGTCCTTTTTTTTTGTGTGTGTAGTATACTTAATAATGTTCCAGTATAATAGAATTTTGATCATACGATACATCAAACGTTTGTTTATATTCTTACAACATCAAAAGAATGCAATTTGTTGTCCCGTGCATCGCACGGGTACAATTACTAGTTAAAATTAACGCACGATGTTATGATTGAAACTCACATTGTCATATAGACTAGTCTTGCCATTAGTTTATTCATCTTTGACAAGATCCACACCTATTAATTCTCTTACCTAGAGAGTGTGACTCACAAATTCCTTAATAAAAAGTCATTATCTGATTTAAAAAAAAAAAGTCAATTTCAATGTTGTTTTAGGTTGTTACGCGTATATATTAAGAAAATTAATAAATATGTATACGGGTTATTAACAAAACACATAGAAAATCATTAAAATATTGCTTCTCAACTAATTCTGTTTTAATTAATTAAAAATGATAAAAGGGAAATATTGAAGACAATGAAATTAAAACATTATTATAATTCTAAAGTGAAAATTGGAAGAAAAAAAATCTCCGAAACGACAAATTGAAGTGTTTAGAGATACCATTTTAAGGGCCAATTTGTAATCGGTATTTGTTTAATAATAATTGTGGCGTTTCCACGAAAAGTGTAATTGTCCCTAATTTTGTACAATGTTTTAATTAAAATTATTATAGAACACTTGAGCAACTAAGAGGAAACTTAATAAATATATATATAATTATCCCTAGTTTTGAAGACTAAGTGATTGCTAATTATAACAAGAGAAGGGACACCAGCTCTATATAAACTGTTCAAACAACAAGATAACATTCAACACAATCCATAATTCTTAATTATTACAACTTATTTTTTTTGCACATACAAGAATGGGGTTGAAGCATTTTTTTACCCTCATTTGCATACTCAATCTCCATCTCGTACACACATTTGCAAATGATAGCACCAACACAAGCACCTTAGAGACATACATAATCCATGTCGATGTAAACCTCGGGTTTTTCGCTCGATTCAAAAATTTGGAAAGCTGGTACACCTCATTCTTGCCAACATCAATCTCAAACGGCCAAAGAAGAATCGTCTACTCCTACCGCAACGTGTTCAAAGGCTTCGCCGCAAGATTATCGGCTGACGAAGTCAAAGCCATGGAGAGCAACCCGGGCTTCATCTCGGCCGAGCCAGAAAGGAAATTGGACATGCACACAACACATTCCCCAAACTTCTTGGGCTTGAACCAAAACATGGGCTTTTGGCAAGGCTCAAACTATGGTAAGGGTGTTATCATAGGGGTCTTGGACTCGGGGATTTTTCCGAGCCACCCCTCGTTCAGCGACGAGGGGATGCCGCCCCCTCCCGCCAAGTGGAAGGGGAAGTGCGAGTTCAATCCAACCGTGTGCAATAACAAGATTATCGGCGCTAGGTACTTAAACTTTTTTGACGGTAGCCCATTGGACGACGGCGGCCACGGGACCCACACGGCGAGCACCGCCGCTGGAAGCTTTGTGGCGAGCGCTAACGTGTTCGGCAACGCCAACGGCACGGCCTCCGGCATCGCCCCTTTGGCCCACCTAGCCATCTACAAAGTGTGTTCATCCATTTGTTTAGAAAGCAACATACTTGCCGCGATGGATGCTGCTATCGAAGATGGAGTGGATATACTTTCCCTCTCTCTCGGAGGGCCTTCACGCGATTTTTACCTAGATAGCATTGCATTAGGCGCATTTAGCGCCATGAAGAAGGGCATATTAGTCAGTTGTTCAGCGGGGAACAGTGGCCCGTTCAACTTCTCAATGGAGAACGAAGCTCCGTGGATTCTTACAGTCGGCGCTAGTACTATCGACAGAAAGATAAGGGCGACAGCCTTGCTCGGAAACAACATAAGTGTTGATGGTGAAACGCTTTTTCAACCGTCGGATTTTCCATCGACGTTATTTCCTCTCGTTTATGCCGGATCCCTCAACACTAGCGATCCACATATTCAATATTGTACTCGTGCATCGTTGAACAAAACCGATCTCCGGGGGATGATAGTGGTTTGCGAAATGGGCTTGGGGGATGGAGTTTCAAAAGGAGTAGAGGTGAAGAATGCCGGTGGGGCCGCCATGATTCTGGTGAATCATTGGCTTTACGCAAACATGACCTTATCGTACGCCCACGTTCTTCCAACCACACACGTAGGTTACGTCGATGGACTAAAGATCAAGACCTACATAAACTCAACAACCACACCAATGGCAGCAATATTGTTCAAGGGTACTATAATCGGCGATGATCGGGCTCCCGTAGTTGCGGCCTTTTCTTCCAGGGGGCCCAACATTGCAAGCCCCGGCATCCTAAAACCCGACATTATAGGTCCTGGAGTTAACATTCTTGCAGCTTGGCCAGTCTCAATCGAGAACAACACCAACACGAACGCCACATTCAATATCATCTCCGGCACCTCAATGTCGTGCCCGCATCTGAGTGGCGTAGCGGCGTTGCTCAAAAGCGCGCACCCTGATTGGTCGCCCGCGGCTATAAAATCCGCAATCATGACCACGGCCGACGTTGTGAACCTAGCCCAAAATCCGATCGAGGACGAGAGGTTCGTTCCAGCGGCCCTATTTGCCACAGGCTCGGGCCATGTGAACCCATCTCGGGCCAACGATCCGGGCCTCATTTACGACCTCAAATCAGAAGATTACTTCCCTTACCTATGCGGATTGAACTACACGAACCTACAGGTCAGCATTATTATGCAAAAGAAAGTGGATTGCTCGGTGGAAGCGAGAATATCAGAGGCGCAGCTCAACTACCCGTCGTTTGCCATCACTTTCGGCCCCTTGCAGCCGATTACTCAGACGTACACGAGGACCGTCACGAATGTCGGCGAGCCTGTTTCGTCTTACGTTGTCGAGATTGTCCCGCCGCCTGGGATTGGTGTTGTCGTCGAGCCCACTAGCCTCGACTTCACCGAGGCGAACCCGATATTGCAGTATCAAGTGACATTCACCAGACTGGGCTCGACCACCAACAATGCAGGTTACATTCAAGGTTACCTGAAATGGAATTCCGGCGCCAAGTACTCCGTTAGGACTCCGATTGCCGTTATATTGCGATGATTATGGAACCTTTACACTATGCCATCTTATTACATTATATAAAAAAAGCTGAATATGTATATATATATATATATATATATATATATATATATATATATATATATATATTATATATATATATATCGTCATTTTTTCTTGTTGTGAGAGCCATTTAGCCGTTATACTGCGGTGAAAAAGAATCTGAAATCAAAGCATCTCTTGAATTAAACATTTTGAATGAGCTTTAGTATATATGCCTTAGAATATATAAATCAATATTAGTGATCTTAGTTGTCTTTTTATCAGGAACTGAAAATAATTGAAGAAGAAAAAAACAACATTAATGATACACTAATTAATTAGTAATGGCTTGCCGATAGTATGGTCGACGACCCGTGGTGACCCGACCAGACCCGTTTCTTTCGGATACGGTTTACGTTTTGATTTGAAAATCCAAAGGCCACAGGCCCAACACTCCTTTTACCAATGTTTTAAAACCGGTCACGAAATTGACCCAAACAAGCTATTGAGTCACGGTTGAACTTACTCAATTAGGGTCCAACTGGATTTTTCATTTTTTATTTTATAAATATTTATACATAAATATATAGTAAATAAAATATATTTTCTTTTATACACATTGACTCACTACTCATTTCTAATTAAAATGTAAATTAAACTTATTTTTCTTTTACACAAACAACGTATCAACAAACGCATATAACATCGAATCATTTCAAATATAATATATATTATAATAAAATATAACATGTCTACCAATTTCAAAAAAAAAATATTCTTATTTTTTCAATAGGAAGTAGGTCGTTTTGGTTATTTTATTTGTTTATGTTAAAGAAAAAAAAAAAACAGCCAATTTTCATCGGATTCTGATATTATGGTCCAATTAGTCAAACTGGACCGTCAAAACAAGATAGCCCGTCATGGATTCGAGACATCAATAGGGAATTGAGAAACTAGTAACTATCCTCATTTTCTTACAAAATGAAAGAAATCGGTCAAACCGCATCGAACAAGGCAATGGTTCTGGTTTAACCGGTTCACAAGGCCGATCCGATTCAGGTTTAATTTCAAAACAGTGATTTTTACTCTTCCTGAAAACTGTCTATACTCTATAATGTATATACCATCTCTGTTTTAGTTCAAAATAAATTACCTACTATTTATTAAGAGTTAAATCTAATTATAACAATTTAATTTTATATATCAAAAAATATAGTAACACTTGAAATATAGTAACACTTGGAGTTGAATTTACAAATAACTAACTTATATTATTTCATTTTTTTGAAATAATTATGTAAGAGTACCAAGTTACTTGTTGGGCGAAAACCTACACGCAAGTGCACGTATCGTACAAGTAATATAGTGGACTAAAAGTCCGGATATCGAACCCACAGGGAATATTTAATTATCTAATCCTAGACGCTAAATTCTACCAATTATTATCAAGCCCACCCTACACAGTCGAATTTTAGAGAGAATTAACTAAATTAAATTAAAAGGCAAATTAAAACGACAAAGCAAGAAAGCAAATTAAACACGAAGATTTATCAGAGTAAACGAGCCTAGGATTTTATTCTTCCCCCTATGTGATTATTACTCCCCCAATTCCTTCAATTATGCAAGCAATTAACCCGGATTATTAACCTGAGATGCTAAAATAATCATAACCCGCTTCCGCGTGTATTACGATTCTAATACTCTAGATTCAATTACTATATTCCTATGCAATTAATTCTAGAACACAGCATATAAGCACAAATCTCAATAATGGCTACCTACGAGATTAACTATATTCCTATGTTAATACAAAGGCTCTTCTACCACAGTTCTAACTATTAACCCTATCTTCCGATTCATGCGATTAACAATAACATAAAAGCGCATAAAGTGATCAAGTTCATGCACTTAATAAAACAAGTAGAAGAAATAATCCGGAATTAAAACTTGCATAAAATCATAGAATTGGGTTCATAAATCCCACATAGGGTTCCAAATAAAATCCTAGAAATAAGTAATTTAGCTACTCATGATTAAAGCAAAAACGCAAATAAAATAAGTCATAAACGATAAATCTATGCTTAGAGTCTTCGAATTCTTCGTCTTCGTTATTGCTTTGTTGCTCTCCAAATTGCGTTAAAAAGATCCCCAATTGTGTGCTTGGTTTGGTCTTATATAGGGTGAAGAACTTGGGGAAGAAGGCAGTTTCCTTGTGTAATTAAAATCCCTTTACTGCGCTGTTTCGGGGTCTCGGACGGCCGTCCCATAATTTGAACTAAAACTCGGACGGCCGTCCGAGCTTTAAATCTCCAAATTTTGGTTTTTTTTACTTTTGGCCCATATTTTCTCCACAATTGCAGTTTTGACCCCCATACTTTTCCAATTCTTCAATTTGTACCTAAAATACAATAAATCAACTTTTTAAGCACCAATTATCATTAAAACACACCAAAAGCTCCAATTAAAAGGTACAATTAAGTGTATAAGTATACACTTAACATTACTCGAGTTGAAGCTTTTTTGAAATCGATTACGACTCCTTCAATTGTACTGAAAGTTCAAACAAAATTCATAGTCGCTCGAGAAGAATATAATAATAATAATAATAATAATAATAATAATAATAATAATAATAATAATAATAATAATAATAATAATAATAATAATAATAATAATAATAATAATGATGATGATGATGATGATGATGATGATGATGATGATGAAATAATATCTGGTTTATTCCAATGATTTGTACGTTACGAACTGATGATGATAACAGAATGTTTCTTTGGAAGGAATTGTTCTAATAAACTTTTTTTTTAGGGGAAGAATTGTTCTAAACTAAATGAACAAATAATAATAAAAAAAGAATTGAGAAATCTTATACATCGATGCAGGCATGCTTCATTCCTCATCCAAAATCTTTAAATAATTAACTAATATTCTAAAGTCAATAACTTATAACTGTTTCAAACCCCAAAGGTTAAAAGAATAAGTCAAATACTAAACATCAAAACTGAATTAGCAAATTAAATATTCATTTGATATTTACGATAATATTTTAATATTATTTAATATACATATACACTAACCATAGTTATGAAATTAATTATTAATTGGAACTTTTTTGATAGTTTTATTTGTAATTGCGGTTATTTTTATACTACACCTAGTGAAGATTACACCGGGTGATTTTTACCATTAATCTATACACACCATTATGGGCATGTATGTATTTGTGCGTATATGAATTGTAATTGACACATGTCATATTCTGATTGAATGTTTAGATGTTTTTTTTTATATATTTCAATTTCGAGGATGTATTTTAATATACAAAGAAGTGGAATATCAACATACTTGCCCGTTTTAATACTCACATTGATGCAAAACTTTTTCATTATGGACTATTAAATAAGGTGGTTTGTGTTGTTCCCGGTATATAAAACAGATAGTGAATTTTGTAAAATGGTCGAACAAATTAATTAGTGAAAATACGAAAAGATTAGCCGAGGCGAGAAAACTCTTTCCTTAAGACAATATTGCCCCACTACAGTGCTTACGGTTATTTGGCAATGGTCTCCCAAGATACAACGGCTAACTCGGCATATGAGCACTCAAAATCCCGAGTACAACGAATGTTACTTTGTGTCTCAAACTCTCGAATCGAATACGGGAGAAAATATACTACGAAGAATATTTCCGGGCTAAAGAAGGAAGAATTCCATAGAACAAAATTATAGAATTGAATTGATTTTTATGTTGTTTTTAAATCAAACATGTGGAGTTTCTATTTATAAGTTTCCAATGGTTGTGATTAATGAACACAACCCTTAGGAAATTAAACGAGTGAAGATGTGTGACCACACCTCTTCATATTGTCACACCTATTTAATCAAATAGGTGCCCAAAAATATTTTTTAATTTTCATTCAAAAATAATTTTAATTTCCAACAGTTTGATACTTCCATTGGAATTGCTCATAGTCATTAATAACTTATCGAGTCGTACAATTTATTGATAAAAAAAAAAATGTCGCGCAATTTAAAACCAAATGTACTTGCATAGTCCTTCACTACATGTGTATGTTTGAGTATGAGGTGTAAATTGGTCATGATAATTGCAAGTTCTAAAAACATGAAGTTGACCATTAATCTACGTGATGAGAGGCATTTGTAGAAAGTGTTGCTTTGAAGGTTGCTAGTTTTTGCTTGAGGACAAGCAAAAGTTCAAGTTTGGGGGTGTGTTAAGTGTATATTTTTACACTCAATGTATACTTTCTTACGAGGATTTTTGTATACTTTTATTGATTTACGTAATTTTTGAAATATACCACTTTAATTTTCATTTCGAGTCACGAAGTTTTGATTTACCATTACTCCAACTTTTTTTGAAACATAATAGAAGATATATTAGATTTCGACTTAAAAATAAACGAGAGCCTAAAAATATTCATCTTTTTATCCTTCTCCTAATTAAAATTAATACAGAGTGTTATGATTGGAACTCACATAGTTATATAGATGCTATATTCTATGCTACATCGGGTGAAATACACTGAATAGATCTTTACCATTCATATACACACCCACTTTGATCTATGTAGATCAACAGTAAAAAATCACCCGATATAATATTCATCGAGTGTAGCATAGAAATACTCCATATAAACTAGTCTTGCCAATTACTTTATTCATCTTTGACAAGATCCATCCACTATTAATTCTCTTACTCGTAAAGTGTGACTGACAAATTCCTTAATAAAAAGTCATTATCTGATTATGTTTTAAAAACAAGTCAATTTCTATGATGTTTTAGGTTGATACGCGTACATATTAAAAAAACTAATAAATATGTACGTGCGGGTTTTAACGAAACATAGAGAAAATCCTTAAAATACCGCTTCTCAACTATTTGTGTTTTAATTAATTAAAAATAATAAAGGAAAATATTGAAGAACATGAAATTAAAACATTATTAGAATTCAAAAGTGATAAATATTTTAGGACAAAAAAAATCTCTAAAACGAAAAATATTTTTCGATGGAAGGTGTATATGTTTCCCCTAAACTTAATAAAACAAATTTAAGATACAAAAATAAATTGGTATTTGTTTAACAACGAAAATTGAATCAATGGTTGTGTAAGGATGAAAAATGTAAGCACCCCTAACTTTGGGAATATTTTGTAATTAAAATTATTATAAAACACTAGAGCAACTAAGAGGGAAATTAATATATATATATATATATATATATATAATCATCCCTAATTTTTAAGACTAAGTAATTGCCACTTAGTTTAGAAAGTTTTGGCCATCAAATTGATGACCAAGTTATAACATCAGAAGGGACACCAGCTCTATATAAACTGTTGAAACAACAACATAACATTCAACATAATCCATAAGTCTTAATTATTACAACTTATTTTCTTTTCACATACAAGAAAGAGGTTTAATTTGTCACAAAATGGGGTTGAAGCACTTCCTCACCCTCATTTGCATACTCAATCTCCATCTCTTACACACATTTGCAGATGATAGCACCAACACAAGCACCTTAGAGACATACATAATCCATGTCGATGTAAACTTCGGGTTTTTCGCTCGATTCAAAGATTTGGAGAGCTGGTACACCTCATTCTTGCCAACATCAATCTCACACGGGCGAAGAAGAATCGTCTACTCATACCGCAACGTGTTCAAAGGCTTCGCCGCAAGATTATCGGCTGACGAAGCAAAAGCCATGGAGAACAACCCGGGTTTCATCTCGGCTGAGCCCGAAAGGAAATTGGACAAGCACACAACGCATTCACCAAACTTCTTGGGCTTGAACCAAAACATGGGCTTTTGGGAAGGTTCAAACTATGGTAAAGGTGTGATCATAGGTGTCTTGGACTACGGAATTTTTCCAAGTCACCCTTCATTTAGCGACGAGGGGATGCCGCCCCCTCCCGCCAAGTGGAAGGGGAAGTGCCAGTTCAATCAAACTGCGTGCAATAACAAGATCATCGGCGCTAGGTACTTCGACTCTTTCGACAATAGCCCGTTGGACGAAGATGGCCACGGGACCCACACGGCGAGCACCGCCGCTGGAAGCTTTGTGGCGGGCGCCAATGTGTTCGGAAACGCCAATGGCACGGCCTCTGGCATCGCCCCTATGGCCCACCTAGCCATCTACAAAGTGTGTTCCTTGTTTTGCTTCGAAAGCGACATACTTGCCGGGATGGATGCTGCTATTGACGATGGAGTGGATATACTTTCTATCTCTCTCGGAGGGCGTTCGCGCGATTTCTACCGTGATAGCATTGCGTTAGGCGCATTTAGCGCCATGGAGAAGGGCATATTGGTCAGTTGTTCGGCCGGGAACCGTGGCCCATTCAACTTCTCAACACAAAATGAAGCTCCGTGGATCCTTACAGTCGGTGCTAGTACTATCGACAGAAAGATCAGGGCAACAGCCTTGCTCGGAAACAACGTAAGTGTTGATGGTGAAACGCTTTTTCAGCCATCAGATTTTCCATCGACGTTGTTGCCTCTCGTTTATGTCGGATCCCTTAACACTAGCGATACCGATATTCAATATTGTACCCCTGAATCGTTGACCAAAATCAATCTCCGAGGGATGATAGTGGTTTGCGAATCGGGCTTGGTGACGGAAGTTTCAAAAGGTGAGGCGGTCAAGACTGCCGGTGGGGCCGCCATGATTCTGGTGAATCATCGGCTTTACGCAAACATGACCTTCTCGGACGCCCACGTTCTTCCAGCCACAGACGTCGGGTACGCCGACGGATTAAAGATTAAAACCTACATAAACTCAACCACCACACCAATGGCAACAATATTGTTCAAGGGTACTATAATCGGCGACGAACGGGCCCCAGTAGTAGCGGCCTTTTCTTCCAGAGGGCCCAACAGTGCAAGCCCCGGCATCCTAAAGCCCGACATTATAGGTCCCGGAGTCAACATTCTTGCAGCTTGGCCAATCTCGATCGAGAACAACACCAACACGAATGCCACATTCAATATCATCTCCGGCACCTCAATGTCGTGCCCGCACCTGAGTGGCGTGGCGGCGTTGCTCAAAAGCGTGCACCCTGATTGGTCGCCCGCAGCTATAAAATCCGCGATCATGACCACGGCCGACGTTGTGAACCTAGCCCAAAATCCGATCGAGGACGAAAGGTTCGTTCCGGCGACCATATTCGCCACAGGTTCGGGCCATGTGAACCCATCTCGGGCCAGCGATCCGGGCCTCATTTACGACCTCAAATCAGAAGATTACGTCCCATACTTGTGCGGCTTGAACTACACGAACCGACAGGTCGGCTCTATTTTGCAACGGAGAGTGAATTGCTCGGTGGAATCCATAATAGCAGAGGCACAGCTCAACTACCCCTCATTCTCCATCTCTTACGATAGCTGGCAGCCGATTTCTCAGACATATACGAGATCGGTTACAAACGTCGGCGTGCCTGTGTCGTCGTACGTTGTCGAGATTGTCCCGCCGCCGGGGATTGGTGTGCTCGTCGAGCCCACTACCCTCGACTTCACCGAGGTTAACCAGATACTGCAGTATCAAGTGACGTTCACCAGACTTGAACCTACCACGAATACTACAGTTTACACTCAAGGTTACCTGAAATGGAATTCCGGCAAGTACTCCGTTAGGACTCCGATTGCCGTTATACTGCAGTGATTATGGAACCCCGTTTTACGCAGAAAACTGCTGAATAAGAATCTATCTTCAACTGATTTTTCTATTGGAGGTGGTGGTGAGCATGCACTACAACACACATGCTGGATTGTTATCTTCTTTTTTTTTTTTTGTTTCTCAACTACTACATTGTTTTACATTCATCTGGTTTGCAATTTATGTGATTGATCTTTTGACATGTATGATAATCGATTGGCTTCTTTCATTTCATTTTTTGGTCGTGAGATTATATAGTTACTAATTAATAATCCAAATTCGGAAGAAAGGACAAACACACTCACATACAACCATTGCAGTGTGTGTCACTAAAGTACAGGTAATTCACGGATCAAAAGTCAAAATTATATAAACATGACCATTGAGAGTATATATATGGTTCATCGGGATAATTATATTTTTAGTCCCTCGTATTTTCACTTTCAGTCCAGCATTTACCATGGTCTACAAATAATGCTATAATGTTGAGTAAAGTGCAAAAAGTACCCCTGTGTAATCTCCAAATAGCAAAAACCCCCATGTGATAAATAAACTAGCAAAAACCCCCCTGTGAAATTTAGTCAAAGGCAAAAACCCCCCTGCTTGACTTAAGTGTGGCTCACTCGCGGGTTGCGCGACTGGTAGTAGGTTTTTGGACGTGAAATGACGAAATTGCCCCTAAAAATGTATTTATAAGTATATATATTATATGTATATATATTTTCCTTTTAACTTGATTGTTTAGAAATTAAAATATTGTTAAAAAATAGTAAATAATTAAATTTAAAAATTATTAAAAATTTGTTAATCAAATTAAGTATAGATTTTTTTAAATATATAATAACGGAATTTAAATTTTCTTTTGATGTAGCGATAATTTAAAATATATACAAAAACTATGTGATAATAAAAACAAAAATAAATTAAAGACCTCATTGTACCTTTATAATTAAGATATAACAAAAATAAAATAATTAAAATATTTAAGTAATATAAGAATTTATTAATTGCAAAATTCCAGGGGTATTTGTGTCTTTTTATATGAAGTCAACACTCAAATGATAAATGGGCCGAGTGTGCTATTTAAATAATTTCACAGGGGGTTTTTGCTAGTTTATTTATCATAGAGGGGTTTTCGCTATTTAGAGATTACACAGGGGTACTTTTTGCAGTTTACTCCTATAATGTTACCAACTTTTGACACATTTGGTCCATCTATTTGTTTGACCGTCAACGGCGAACGATCAACGATCGTATCAGGACTGAAATTGGGGTTTTCTTTTTGAGTAAATTGTAGTAAGACATCTATATTGTTTCCATCTGTTTAAAAAGTTCTTATATTATATATAAAAAAATGGCAAAACCCCTTATTAAATATTTTTGACTGCACATGCACCCAATATCATTTTAGCCGTTGAAAAGTCAAGAAAAGGCATAATATACCAAGGGGGTTTTTGCAATTAAAAAAGTATATAATCTTTTAACTATTTTTTTTATTTTGTCATATTTTCAGTTAGATAAAACCGATTTGTATAATGATCCAGCCCATTACCATCCGGCCGATCCAGTAAAGCCCAAGAGCCCAATTAGGGTCAGAAGGCCCCATGAAGCCCATTAAGAAAGGAAGGTCCATTAAGCTGACACCCTGTCAAGTAAGAGAGATTGGGCGAGCCGCGAGAGTGAAAAGCGCTCTCTCTCTCTCTCGCAAGTCCTCTCGCTCGACTAACTCGCCGAGTCGGTGCTAACCGCACGTGGGGGTATTTAATGCATGTCTAATCCACTGACAGACGTAGAGGAATGTCGTCCATGTCCCCTACTTTTTGCACCTGCAGCCGCCAATAAAATGACGTATTAAATTGTATTGAATGTAATTTGGAGTCTGGGATATCTAATTACCGCGATTGGACAGGTAAATTGAATTGGAGAAATCTTTGGCGTCCGTCCTTTTTAGTATAAATAGGGGCATTAAATACAGGTATCAACAGTCCGGTTCTTTCCTTTTTTATAGGTTCATCCACGGGCCCTGGTCCAAGTTCAGGCCTGCCTATCTCTCTAAATCAACCCACCGCGAATCTAGATCGATCAAATGGCGCCGTCTGTGGGAATCTGTTGAGAAAAGCTGTGGCAACGTTTTCCTTTAAAACACTATTATCTATTTTCCTTTACCCAATATACATATATTAATGACCTCGTTCCCCAGCATCGTAAGGGATCTAGCTAGTCAGATGGAGTCCGAGGTGACCCCAGCCCCGTCAGAACATCAGCCAGTCGTCGGAGAGGCTTCCACCTCGAGAGAGGAGATGCCTCAGACAACCAGCATTGTGGGAGATAGCCCTATGGTCGCCATGACTATGGAGAACCTGCATGCGCTCTTGGCGACCATCGTACAAGAGGGTTCTGTTCGCATTTTGAAAGAGCCCGACGCGGCGTCGCTAAAGAGGAGGATGGGCGAAACGGGAGAGCGAGCAGGCGAGGAGCCCAGCCGCACAAGATCCACGCTTGGAGCGTCAAGTCCCTTCACCGCCGAGGTCCTGGAGGACGAGCTGCCGCACTCATTCCGTCCTGTCACTTACGAATACCTTGGAACCACAGACCCTTTTGAGCATCTCTGTCGTTTCAACAACACTTCAGCATTACACCGGTTCACTGAGGGAGTAAAATGCCGGGTCTTTGCGACTACGCTGGCGGGGGCCGCCCAAACCTGGTTCAGCCAGCTACCGGCTGGCACGATTGGCGGTTTCGACCAGCTAAGCGCCAGTTTTATGGATCACTTCGCGAGCTCGAAGAAGCAGAAGATGAGCACCTTGACTCTGTTCGCGGTCAGGCAGAGGGAGGGAGAATATTTACGAAGTTTTATCAAACATTTCATCTATGCCACCTTGGAAGTACCGATGACCTCGGAGGAAGTATTGATCAGCACTCTCGCTCAAGGCCTACGGGCGGGCGACTTCTTCACCTCGCTCTCAAAGAAGCCCCCCCTATCTTTCAATGTTTTGCTAAAAAAGGCCGAGAGATATATGAACGCAGAAGAGGCAGTACATAATAAATTTGGCGAAACCAAAGACAGCCACGATACGAGAAGGGAAAAGAAGGAGGATAGAATGCAGAAGCCAGCCCAACTCGCGAGAAAAGATTTGCAGAACGAGAGAAAGGTAGGACCTCGTTTTGACAGTTACGCACAGCTAGTCGCACCACCAGGATAGATATTGGTGGCCATAGAAAACAACCCTAAGCTAAAGTGGCCACGCACATATGCAGAAGTACCAAAGAGAAGCCCCACATTGGGAAGTTTCTGCCGCTTCCATAATGATTATGGCCACACCACCAATGAATGCCAACATCTTCGTGATGAGATCGAGAGGCTCATACGTGCGAAAAACTTACCAGAGTTTGTAAAAGAAGGGAATCAGCGCCCGCAACAGGCGCCTACTCGGTACGAACGAGCCTCGCAAACCGGAGCCAAGAAAGGAGAAGCGGAATGAAAGGAAGGACCAAGTGGCACAGGGTAACTTCATCAGCATGATTCTGGGAGGACCCTCGGGGGGAGATTCCAACAGGGCCCGACGAGAGACCGAGGAGTTGTTCGGAGAAATAGAAGAGGCTGATCGGGCGAGTCGTGCGCACCTTCGACGCTTGTACAAGATGGAAGCTCAGCTGGAGGAGGTACAAAGAGTCTCGCACGTTCCACCCATTGTTTTCGACCCGCTAGACGAAGAAGGAATCAGGCAGCCCCATTCTGATACCCTTGTGATTACGGCCATGGTGGCAAATTTCGACATCGCCAGAATACTGGTGGACACCGGCAGTTCCGCCGACATTATATACTACGACTATTTCAAGAAAATGAATATGAATTTCGAATTAAAATACGTGGAGACAAATTCGGTCGGATTCTCAGGAGAGTCGGTGCGGTCAGTAGGAGAGGTGTGCCTGCCCATTTCTCTAGGAATGGAGCCAGTACGAGCCATACGATCTGTAAAATTTTTGGTTCTGGATGCGCCTTTTACCTACAACATCGTATTGGGACGTCCTTCCATGAACTCATTTGAGGCGGTTGTCTCAACGTACCATATGAAGCTGAAATTCCCCGTGCTAGATCAGATCGGGGAAGTCCGAGGGGATCAGGAGACCTCGAGGAGGTGCTATTATGACGCATTAAAGATAATAGGAAACATATATGTTATTCGCACTGTCAACCAGAGTAACAACCAGGGGAAGGAGGACCGAATGTCGGAGATAGATCCAGCAAAAGAAGAGGCCCACGTACAGCCGATGGAGGAGCTGATGGTAATTCATCTTTGCGAGAAAGATGCCTCGCGCACCACCCGCATAGGAGGCGGATTAGGCGCAGAAATAGCTCGACAGTTAACGGAGTTCCTATGGAGAAATCAGGATGTGTTTGCATTCTCTCCAGCGGATCTGGGGAGTATTGACGAACAGCTCGTTGTACATAGACTGAATGTAAAGCGAAACGCGAAGCCAGTCAAACAAAAGGGCCGACATTTCGGAGCAGAGAAAGATAAAATCATACAAGAAGAAGTACAAAAGCTATTGGCAGCGGGGCAAATCCGAGAAATTCGTTTTCCTACCTGGCTGTCCAATGCAGTGCTAGTCAAGAAGAGCGAGGCCAAGTGACGAATGTGCATTAACTTCAGGGATCTCAACAAAGCATGCACAAAATATTACTACCCTATGCCACGAATCGACCAACTCGTGGACTCCACCGCCGGTTGTGAGAGGCTGAGCATGATGGACGCCTCGCAAGGTTACCATCAGATTCCATTATGCTTGGAGGACCAGCCCAAGGTGAGCTTCATCACCTCCACTGGAACCTATTGTTACACAGTTATGCCTTTTGGACTGAAAAAAACGGGAGCCACGTACCAGAGGCTAGTAGACAAGATGTTCAAGGGCCAACTCGGAAGGAACATAGCGAGCACTCATTTGGAGAATTTGGAGGAAACATTCCGCACGCTCCGACGCTACGGCATGAAGCTTAACCCCAATAAATGTGCTTTCGGGGTAAAAACGGGAAAATTCCTAGGTTACATGGTGACCAAGAGAGGAGTGGAGGTGAATCCAGAGAAGGTGCAGGCGGTTTTAAATATGGAGGCGCCGCGTAATATTAAGGAGGTTCAAATGCTGGCAGCAAGGATAACAGCTCTGAGTAGATTCATATCTAAGGCGGGGGAGACTAGTTACCCCTTCTTCAAAATACTGAGAAAATGAACTCAATTCGAGTGGATGGCAGAATCAGAGAAGGCTTTCGAGCAGCTCAAAATCTTGCT